ATGGATGAGAAAGACGAGGAGGAAGCAGGAGGAGGACGAGGAGGAGGAAGGAGGAGGACGAGGAGGAAAGAGGAGGAGGACGAGGAGGAAAGAGGAGGAGGACGAGGAGGAAAGAGGAGGAGGACGAGGAGGAAAGAGGAGGAGGACGAGGAGGAGGAGGAGGGAGCCGAGAGGTCACAGCCCTGTCTGGATCCGGGCAGAGGGCTCAGCGCTCCGCAGGAGAGGAGGAAGCACAGCGCGATGGTGCCCCTCACCCTCGCGGAAGCCGTTTGCTCGCCATCCGCCGCTTGTTCTCCCTTCCCGGCCAATTTGTGCCTTCTCTTTGCCGGCACCTAACAAGCTCCGCGGGCTGCCGCCGCTTCCCGGACCTCTGAGCGTGGAGTGACCTGGGAGCAGCCGCGTTTCGGGAACCGAAATCGGGGCGGGAGAGGCTGTAGGAGGCGTTAGCGCAGCGGGATCTCCGATAGGGCCCGGAAGCGATGCCGAGGGCTCCAAGCGTGACCGGAGGTGTCCGTATAACACGCGACCCGTAACCTAACGAAGCCGGCAAGCTGTCCTCGCAGCCCCAGGACTCCTGTTGAACACAAAATATCTTGGTTGAACAGTCCCAAAACTGGTTTTTCCGTGGGGTTTTCTCTCGGGAGGGAGCCTGGGACGAGCCCTGAAAGCAGGCGGGATGCAACGGGACTGCCCACGGCTCCGTTTTTGGGGTCCGGGGCGGCTCTCGCCCTCGGAGCGGAGCTCTCCTGGCCCTGCGGATCCGTGCCCGCCGCAGCTACTGGAGATGCGCAGCGGGAGACCTCTTGCCGCTTCCAAATCCCTCCCTCCAAACAGGCGTCGGTGGCGCTTTTGGTGAGGAGCCGTGGTGCAGTTTGAAGGGGGGATGTTGAATCCCGCTCGCGGTTGAGAGGATTTATTCGGTCCGCTGATAGCAACGAGCGGCGGCGCCTCCGAGAACTCCGTCCTCCCCCGTGGTATTCCTGCCGGGGAGAGCGAGAATCTCCGCCAGAGCTTTCTTTCCTCTTCTCTCCGACTGCAGATAAGTGCCGTGCGTTTGCCGCGGGAGCCCACCAATCCGGAGAGGTTGAAAGGTTTTGGTTACGCCGAGTTTGAAGACATAGACTCCTTGTTCCAGGCTCTGAGCCTCAATGAAGAGGTGAGTCCGGCAACCCCTGACGGAGCGGGACTGGTGCCTACAAGCCCCTAAATGCCCCCCCAGGCCCGATCCTGTGCAGCCCTGGGTGCTAGAGAGGCGTTAAGAAGCGTCTTCTTGTAGAGCGATGGCTTTCCCTGCTGGAAAAAGACTTAATTGGGGAGGAAAAAAGTGCTTTTTTAAGGCCGTCGGGAAGCCCTGTGTGGTCCAAGCTGCTCTGCTCAGGCATCACCCCGGGGTGGGCTCTTCTCGCCCCTCTGCCCATCTTCAGGCCCCAAAACTGACTTCTCCCTCTTGTTTTTCAGTCTCTAGGGAACAGAAGAATACGAGTGGATGTCGCCGATCAAGCTCAGGATAAAGGTGAGCGTCCTGCGGCCTCGCGCTCCTCCCTTCGCCTGGGCCGTCTCGGTGACCGCGGCCTCTTGCGCCGGGGTTGCGGCTGGGTTGGCGATGTGCCTGCCTGAGGAGGGACAAAATCGCCCTCATCCCAACCCGAATCGTGGCTCGGGCTCCTGCCCGCGCGGCCGGATGGGCCCGGCTGGGATGTTTTACCCGCCGGCGCTTATCTAACGCCGTTGTGTGGGTTCCTCCCACGCCCCTGTGCCCTCCCTCTCGCGCTAATTGACTCAGCCGAAGGTTTTTCGGAGCGTTGGTGGTTACCGCTGATACAGATTTCGCGCCTTCGGAGAGGCTCTCGCTTGATTTCGCCGCCGACGGCTGTTTTCTGACCCGCGAGCTGAAATTCCCTTCCTTTCCCCGGCAGATCGGGACGATCGCTGCTTTGGCAGAGATCGGGATCGCTTCCGGGACTTGGAGAGGTTCGAGACCGACTGGAGGGCCCGTCCCACCACCACCGACAGCTTTGACGATTACCCACCCCGCAGGGGCGACGACAGCTTCGGAGACAGTGAGTTGGCAGGAAAAAAGGGGGGAAAAAAAAAAAAAAAAAAGGCAGCGTTCCTTCCTTCCATCGCTGTTTCCCAAAACGGTGGCAGAGGGGATGGGAACGGTCACGAAGGAGTCGGGCCGTCGCTTCCCTCCGCTTCACCCCTGGCCAGCAGAATTCCTGCGGGACGTGGTGGTCGCTTCCCCCTCCGTCTGTAGCCCGGAGCCAAATCTGCCGCGTTTTGCCGTGTGGATAGTTCTTTCTCCTTTCCCTTGTTTCCCCTGAAAACCTGCGTTATCCTGACGTCCGGGTGTGCTTTTTACTCTGCTTCGGACGCTGACGGAGCGGTCACCCGGAGCTCGTTCCCTCGTTAGATCGTTGTGGGGGCGAGTGGGTCGGCGCCGTCTCCCGTCTGGAGAACGGTAGCGGCATTTTCCTGCTTCGTGAAGGGCTTTGTGACCTTTTCTGCAGTAATGAGTGTAGGAAAATCCTCGCCGGTGTCTCTCACTTGAGCGTTCGGGGTAAAACCACGCGCAGGGTTCCTCCGCGCTGCCCCGCTCACGCCAGACCTCCCCCCCCTCCCCCCCCTTCTCCTCCCTCCAGGGTATCGGGATCGCTACGACGATCGATATCGTGATGGTCCCCGGAGGGATATGGACCGTGGTTTTGGGGGACGAGATCGCTACGATGACCGCAGCAGAGACTATGACCGAGGTGGGATGTTCCCGAAGGATTCCCGGGGCGGAGAGGGCTGAGGGTGCGACTCTGCCGCGGCCGACGAGCTGCCCAGCGTGGTCCAGTTCCCCTCCCGTAACCGGGGAAGGAGTGCGGGCGATGAGCTGTCGCTCTTCCTCTCCGGACACCTTTAATCCTTCGCCGGGCTCTCCTCCTCACCAGAGCCCGGCTCTGGCCCAGATTTTAAGCCCGTCGGCCCGCGGGAAAGTCTCCTGCTCTGCGTCCCGCCGGCTTGGGAGGGACGGGGATTCACCGGGACGGGTTTCCCTCCCTCCCGCAGGCTACGATTCCAGGATAGGCAGCGGCAGGAGGGCCTTTGGCAGCGGCTATCGCCGGGACGATGACTACCGAGGGTGCGGCGACCGCTACGAAGACCGCTACGACCGGCGGGATGACCGGATGGATAGGTGGAACGGCCGGGATGATTTCCGCCGCGATGACAGAGGTATAAGGGTTTTATCGGAACATCTCCGGCTGCGCTGAGAGAGAGACTCGGGTCCGGGTGGGATTTCGCGCTCGCTCCTGCTCTCCTTGCTCCTTCCCAGGTCCCACTCAGAGGCCGAAGCTGAACCTGAAGCCCCGGAGCGCGCCCAAGGAGGAGGAGACCTCGGTGGCCCCCGCGCCCCAGTCCAGCCGGGCTGCCTCCATCTTTGG